CATTTGTCTTCATTCATTTGTCCTTTTTGACATCAGAGCCTCATGTCATGTTGGATTCATATATTATTTAGGTGCTATCTCAAACATTAAATATCTTGACCCTTTCTTTACTAGGTGGAAAAGAGATAAAAATGGTTCCAAGGTTATCCATCCAACAACCAAGAAGCCTATATTACAGTTTGTTGCTATACAGAGAAAAGACAGTGGAGAGTGGGCTATACCTGGGGTAGGTTACCTGGGCGGAGTGTGATCTTTGCAGCTGTTTTGTTTCAAACTCTCTGTAGTTATTCATTGACTAAAAGTTACATGTGAACCAAACGTTTTTTTTTTCAACAGTTTAAAGATCATTTATCCTGTTTAATGCTGTTGTATGCCAGTACAGTGTTGATTCTGTCATCAAATTAGTTATTTATTATAAAAATTTATTTATCAGTAAGGAAGTTTTGTCATTTTATCACTAGGGCATGGTGGATGCTGGAGAGAGAGTCAGTGTCACTCTGAAGAGAGAGTTTGCTGAAGAAGCCATGAATTCCTTAGAAGCAAACTCAGAGGAAAAGGAGAAAATTAAAAAGTCCTTGGAAACATTATTTAGTAAAGGTGTTGAGGTAAGTTTTTGTTTTACTGATCAATAATCCAATGGACATGAACATTTTTACATTCAGTTTATCATGTTCATATGGATTTGGTAAAAATGCCAGTGATGTTAAATATTTTCATGCATTTTAGCAGATGAAATGAAGTGAAAAAAGTGATTTAATAATTTTAGGTGATAAAGGGACCAGTGTAGTGATGATCCATACTCCTTGGAGACTTCTTTAATTTTACAGAGAACTTTGACTACTTATAAATATACTACCTGGAATACCCCCCCCCCCCTTTTTATTTTCTCAATCAGTGTCTAATGTAGTGAATAATGCCATGAAATAAGAAAACTTGTTTCCCGTGTCAGGTATACCGAGGCTATGTGGACGACCCACGCAATACTGACAATGTCTGGATGGAGACGGTGGCTTACAACTTCCATGATGATACAGGAGACAGCGTGGGGAAGTTTAATCTTAATGCGGGTAAAATACCACACCTACTATCATTTATAACTTGTGTATCCAGGTGTGAGAATTTTAAAGAACTTTGGGCAGGGTTTTGTGTCAGTTTTTTCCAGACGTTTTGTTTAAAAGTTGATTATAAGCTTGGTCAGGAGTGAAATCAAACTTAAAAGTTGATTTCACATCTGACCGAGGCTTTCCCCAGAGAACCCCCCAGCTTTCACTGGGAAGACCTCAAATGTCAGCCTATATTTACAAAGATGGTTGGACAGCTTACAAAATATTTGGGTTGGTTGGTTGGCTGGGATTTTGGAACTCCCTGTAAATTGATGACCATATTGCAGATTCACATTTTGGACTCCGTGTACCCCAGATCTTGGGGAACCCCTGATGTCCAGTTATAAAAATATTTCAATTTGTCTTAAAAAAAAAAAGAAGTTATCCTCATTTACAAATGTAGTACTAAGATTTTGTAAGATTTGATTTGATTGGGTTTTATATTTCTGTTAGTGATTCAGATGGTTGTATCTCATTGGAGGTGGGGTGGGGTGAGGTGGGGTGGGGTGGGGTGAGGTGGGGTGGGGGGGAGCTTTCAAAACAAAAACGAAACTCTTTAACCTTTAAAGTGGTCTAAACTTTCATATCATAATTGTAAACTAATTAAGTGAAACATTGCACCTGTTTTATAACATGAAAGACGTGGCTGATAATAAGATCAATATTTACGTTAAAGGGACCAGTGTGGACTTATCATAGAATGAAAGTAGATCTAATTTTTGGTTCACAATTTTCTACCAATTTTGTTGCCCAAAGTCCTTTTATGAAACTTTCCCCAGCTACCGTTGTGATAATGTCTCTCTTAGACCACCGTCACGGAATCAACCTTACACTGTCAACATAAACCGCAACTGTTTGTGGCAGTAACTTGACATTTGATCTCTCCATTCATTTGATATTGCTATGCCTAATTTCACTCATGGAAATGTCAGTTAACATGGATGGTAACATTACACTAAACAGGTTTTATTTCATTTTTCAGGTGATGATGCTGGCAATGTGAAGTGGACCGATATCAGCAGCTCTCTTCAGCTCTTTGCCAGCCATGTGGATTTTATAGAAAAAGTAGCTAAAAAGAATAATGCACATTGGTGATTCATATTTCATGAAATATAGGTTAGGAAGGCAATTGTGAACCATAAGGGGGGGTGGGGGGTGGGGTCTCAAAGAAGGGTATTAAAATTGCCCCTTTACTGAACTCTTCCCATCTAAATTTTGACCCCCTGTATAAAGTAAGTTCAGAATGGACAAGAGTAGAGTAGAGGAAATACCACCCCTGAACAAAATTACACATATATATTTAATTTCAGGAAAATATTATAAGGTTTTTGCCTCACAGTTTGCAACAATTCATTTCTCTTCTTTGGTATTGTGTATAAGACCTTCCATAGACCCCCCTAAGGTTACAACATTCAATAAGATATTTCTCTGGAGTGCATTCTGGACAATATTCAATGGGAATCCTCTGAGATGGCCCAAATTCTGGCATCTTGGCGTATCTCAGAAGATTTCCATTACAATGAGTTTTAGTAATTGCTTTTGTGCCATAACTTTACTTTAAGAAATGTGAACTTTACAACGTGCAAAAAGTTTCAGGAAGACTGGGTAAGACTGTGAAATACTATTATATGAAATACTATACTGTACGCAGTAGATCAAAATGTCGTAGAAGACTGGAGACTGTGGCAATAATATCCATGGCTTGTTCCCTGTAGGTGAAAAGGTGTAAGTTATGCTCAAATTTAATCTGCATTTAATCTTCCTTAGAAATGCTAGAAGCAACTCTGTGACAGTGACTGTATAGTATTTGCTTTAATAAGTTTTATCATTCTTTGTAAGCGTACAGAAATAAATATGACCTATAAGCAAAATTTCAACAAAACTTGGAATACCTTCAAAGGATAAAAGTATTATGTAGGTGACTGTGTAGAAAGTGCCAAGTTGTAAACAAAGAAACAGTTAAAGTTGCCTGAAAGTAGCCCATGAAATGCCATGATTTACTCATTTCTTGAAACCCTTTGTTTAAACTAATTTAGAAAAAAAACTTTTGGCATTCACCGACATGCAAAGGAAAAAATTGAACTGTATCCACTATCAAAACTAAAAGGGGCATGATGTTTGCCATTAATGTAAACTTTTTAGCAAGGCTTTCACATTTAATATGGATCATTCCTGTTTTGGTATACTTTTGTTATTTACTTTTTGCAGTATACTTGGGACAGCTACCCACAAATGTAAAATATTTACATGATGTGAAGGCATTGACTTCCAGGATTAGTGTCTATTAATTGAATATTCTCTCATCTGAAAATGTGATATTGTGTAGTTATTTTTCTTTTGATAACTAAATGGTAATTATATTAGATACTTGGGGTAGATGATTTCTACTAAATTTGAAAATCTGTTAAGAGATACTGCTTTGTGTATTGAATGTGTAAGAATATTTTCTTAATATCAAACATTTTGTATTTGTGTTAAATTCTCTGCTGGTTAATTCAGCTTAAGACTATAAGGAAAACTGTAAATTTGTGATGTCTTTTTCTTAATAGTGAACAGATATATAATCATTATTAAAGTAAGTCTGCATACTATTATATGTAGTTTTTTATCACTGCAGCATGACCAACTCACCACCATTACTGCCTATAGAGAAATTGCATCCCACCTCCTCCTCCTTCCCCTCTGTTTAAATTCTCTCTCCAGCCAAATCTTGAAGTCAAGGAAGCATCATGATACCCCCATGGTTTATACATGATTTCAGTTCTTGAAATTTATAAAGGCATTGCTTTTAATGCCTATAAACACAAATAAAAAAAGTTAGGGCACAAAGTTCTGTAGAACAGTGGAAGAGCATATCTCTGGAGTGTTCAAATCCAATCCCAAGGACTTGTGCCAGTTATAAATCCAACACAAAAGCAATGAGGTGGATAAATATATATTTCCATTAACAGGCTTCTTCATTTAATAATACAATTAAATGAGCTCTTTATTATACATTAAATAATGGCCTATCATGCCTATGTATCGAAAGCACTGCACTAAAAAGATCCACTGTAAAGTTGTGAGCAAGTGCAGGTTCAAACAATTCAATCTGAAGGAATATTAAACAAATTCCTTCTCTACACAAACATTTTTTTTTAGAAAATGTACTTGGTGCTTAATATATTTTCTAGAAGTAATTAATTTGCAAAAAATGTCTGCATTTTCCACTGAAATGTGCACATGATACGACATAACTGTGCAATCTTTATAACTACATCTGCATCACACGAGATGCATCAAACAGAAAAAAGACACTTATTTGTTTTAAATGTACTTACATCTCAGTAGGAATGACACATTTATTTTTGTTACATGAACAATAGCTGCACTGGAAGTTTTAGGCTCCCCACACCAATAAAGAAGGTATGTAGATACCCTCATTGAATGACTTGACATATAACAGAAAGGTGGAGAAAAAAACGGAAGAATTTCTGGAGCACATATTGGATTTTCCTATAATTTGGTCACTGATGCAAGTAAAAGTTTGTTAAATAATCCTTCAGAAACATAAGGCTTGAAATGACAGAAATGAATAAATGAAAAGAATATAGTAAATGTCACCAACTGACTAGTAGTTAACATTGAATAAATGGCACTGCCATTAGTTTCATTTCTCTGAACAAACTTAACAAAATGGTGTGACACTTATACACCTAACAAAATTTTACTTCTACTTTCACATAAATAATTGGTCAATTTTTCTTAATTTTTTGCCAATACTTGACAACACTGTCTCTCTTTTCCTAGTACCTATTTTTGGATTTAAAAAACCAAATCCAACTGCACTAAATAAATAATTTAGTTTTTAGTCTACTTTAACATTTAGCTCTCCCTATTCTGGGCAAAATCAAACACTAAGACATAGATGTACACACCATAAAGCAACCAATTCCTGAGTTAGCACTGAAAACTAGTTCACTTAAAAAGAACAGAGACCAAAAAAGAGAACTACCATAAGATATTTGCAAAACTAAATGGAAAATATACAAAAGGAAATAAAAATAACAGAAAAACTGAAAATAATGTATTACAAGATTGGGACACGACCAGAGTAAAAATTTATAGGTAAAAGTTCCACATTTAAGGACAATCTCAAAATATCACTCATCTTTGTGCCTTTTAACATGGCATTGAAGAACTATGATCTTACAGTTTGTTTAAGAAAAGATCTTTTACTTCCAATCTACTCAGGTAAAGTATAACTGGATTATAAATGCTGTACATAAGCAATTATGCAGGATAATGAGATGTGGCACACACATTATAACATCCAAGCAGTAGTTTGTCTAAAATATGGTTTCCTCAAAACATAGAGGCTGTACTGGATAGCGTTAACGGAGCCCATTGATGTCTCCATTGGTCTCATCATGGTCACCATTACTTGTAGCCTCCTGGTGGACATCACCATTAGCAACCTCATTAGGTATAGAGTCATGTGACACAGTGGCCTTCCCCTTGGTATTCTGTAGCCAGACCTTACTGGAGAGATTGTACATGGAGTAATAGGGATCCCCTGTGACTTCCTTCACTATATCCAGAAAACTGGGCAAGTCTAATGGCTCCATTGCTGGGATTGTGCTATACGTTTCCAAGAGAATCAGCCCTTTACACCTGAAATTTGAAACAATGTTATAAAACATGAAAATATCTTAATTCATTTCTACCTTAGTTGTTTGAAGTATTAAAATACATCCAATTTCTCAAAATGTGACCCAGGCTACCTCTTCCAGTTCTCTCACCTTTCTTGACACGGCTCCTTGTACAAGTCCATCTGATAATATTGATCATTCCACAGAAAACAGCGCCTTGTCTTGTAGATGGTCTGATGCTTCTCGTCTATCTGAGCCAGGAGGTTCTGAGAAATAACAAAACAAATCTATGAAACAATTTGACAGACTTTACTGTGCATTTAACAAATTTCAGAATGGTTCTACCAAGATGAATATTTGCAGAATCTGAATCGATAATTATATTTTTTTATGAGCTAAATTTCAGCAATTATCAGAAATAAAATAAGTCTACAGGATTTTGGAAACTTACAAAACAAGTGTGTAAATTTAAGTCTCTAGGATTCCTCTCACAAAACAACTTGATTCAATAATTAGTCTTAGACTGCCAAATATTTTAGCTGACTTAATGATGGAGAATGTATCACAGAGATCCTAAACAGCCACTTGCCTATTTCTTAGTCTTTTAATAACTGAGCCCCTGGAATAAACTGATTGTCAGAACAATGATTTGCACTCTCAGCTGTCACTAATTTATTAGGCTATTGAATGACAACTGCCTTTACTGTCGGCCAGACTTTCATGACCTACTCAGGCCCGTAGCCAGGGGGGGTTCGGGGGGTTCGAAAGAACCGCCCTTTTTGCTGGGAAAAGGTCCACTCTGGGTAAAATTTGATCTAGGAAAATGAAGTTTTTTATGGAAAAAGGTCCACTTTTTCAGAAAAAGAACCCCCCTTTTGAAATTGCTGGCTACGGGCCTGACTACTAGTATATTGTGGGGTTACCCTACATGCAATTGACTGGCCCAGTCTAGAAAATAGGCTAAACAAAAAACTCATTTCTGAATCAGTGCCTTACTGTGTAGTCCCTTGACGTGATGTGCATCTTGGTCTCTGCGCTCTCGTTATTCTGCAGATAGCGACGTATGGTGTGAGTATATGTCCAGTTACCTGATACAAACAAAAATGAAGATGTGTCAAATAGTGACTTGTTCAACCGGGGCCGTAGCAATAGTCTAAAGGTTCAATATTTCAAAGGTTGATTGGTCCAAATGTTAACTATAGAACCCTTGATTAAAAAAACAATGAAAATGTTACCATTTTTGGACCAATGAACCTTCAGACTATCAAGAAGCCCCCTCAGTATGGAATACACGCGTCTCTTTACAAAGACAAGTATTTTAGAAACTTTTACTTGCACAATGTTCAATTTTAAATGCCAATTTAGCATTCGTAGTCAGTGTTACCATTTTGCCCTCGTTTCCGTATTCTGGCCTGGGTTTTCTGGCCGGGGGTGGCCAGGTAGTCATGAACTACATCAAAATCTTGAAACTGAGGATAACCCTGGAATGAAAAAATACTTCATGATTTAAAAAAAAAATCTTGAAACCAAGGATAACTTTGGAATGAAAAAGTAAAGAGGTGCAATTTTAAAGTTAAAACATAAATAACAGTTTCTTCCTCCTTTTACCATTCAATAATTAATTAATATTTTAAAATCCAACCTCTGTGTAATTATATTCTAACCAATATATTTTACAGATGACAGAAAAACTCAAATATTTAACCTAATCACAACTTACGAATACACTAATTTTCACCCCCCCCCCCCAACCCTCCCCCCCAACCCTCCCCCCCCTGACCCAGGGTGCCACTCTCCACAGCAATCAGTCAGTGCAGGTTAAAGGGCTCTGTCATACCTGGCGTAATGAGGTACATATGAGTTGCATATGAGCATATTAATTTACCTGGTGTATGAAGTAGGGATTCATGAAGCAGATGAGACGCCATTTAGTGACTAAGTCAGAACAAGAAGTTATAATGAGAAGGAGTAGAAACGGGACATCAATTATCTCTCTCTTCCAATCAGATCGCAGCATTCTTNAAATGGTTGCTTCCAGGCTTGAAATCTCTCTCTACACCTTTCTGTAATCCCACCATGTTTTCTCTGTGAGATTATTAGAGACTTCGCGAGGCTTTATCCCAATTGGCTGAAGCAACCCACGTGAATGGTCTTTTGAATATGTATTAGGCACAAGCTCTCCCTCAGACCACAAGCTGGGTAATTATTAGGATTAAGCCCGTTACGAGGATAGGATGAAAGGAAACCCCTTGTTTCTACTCCTTCTCATTATAACTTCTTGGTCAGAAAATGTGGCGCGGTGTCCAAGGTGCCACCAATGATGTTATTGAATCCAAAAAGTTTTAAATAGTTGGAAAAATCTCATCCCTGATGAAATTGACTTTGGGCATGTTCAAAACATTTTAGCACCCTCCTGGTATAAAAATGTACACCAGAGTTTGCCTGTGTATTCGATATGTATATGACGTAAGTCTAATGAACCTCTTACGTTTGTCTGCTTATGGGCAATCTTACGTTATTGCCATACGCCAGGTTTGACAGTGCCTTAAGATACTAATGTGCAATTAGAAATGTTTTAAGAGTGAAGTAAGTTGGTAAACACTCATGGACAGCAAGAATGTGATGATACTACAAAACTCACCAGTAAACGAGGAAAAAACGCAAGTCTTGTGAAGTGTCCAGGTGATTGTAATCAAGGAAACTTATAAGACAAGCTGAAGTCTTGTGCTCATTACTGGGCCCATACCATTATGTAAATATTTTGCAACTGCCTATTACCAAATTAATAAACTACATTTCTTTTTATCCATTTGAAAAAAAAAAAAAAAAAGAAAGAAAGATTGTGGTTCAAGAAAAATCATGATAGAATGAGCCCAGTGTGACGTTACAAAAAAATTGTCAAACAAAAGGAACAAACACCGGAATGCAGGTTCACAGATAAGAAGACAGGGGGAGAAAATGGCCGCCTGATTCTGGTCCTCTCCTCTCCATCTGGATCACTGCTTACTGCTGAGAAGAACAACATTGCAAACTCAACAGGGCCACTACTTACCTTAGTCTCTGCACTGGCAGCCATGTCTATCGCCTAGATGAAATAGGAAAAGTCACACATTGGGCAGGAGCAGACACTAGTCACACGCAAGCACTGCAAACAACATGCCCCGCAATCGTGTTACAGGTTGCCAAAATAATTAAGTGAATGCAGTGTCAGAAAATGAAATAATTTTTTTATATAAAAACCAGCCTTGAAGTTGAAAATCCCTGTGTTATAGCAGGCAGTTAGAATTTAAGTGATTGAGATCAGTGTGAGAAAGATCTGAAAACTACTTTATCTGTTCTTAGCAAAAAAATTAAAAATTTTAATGGTACATCTATTGTGTCATTTCAAACTAGTTATTTTTAGTCTGAAGTAGGGAAACTTACAACTCAGAAAACATCTTAGTTACATGTAACAAACTTGGGATCAGTAAATGTAGTGTAATAACTAGTACATATTTTATAAAAAGAAATGATCACTATTAGAAACATCTGAACTAGTTTAAACTTGGAAAACAAACCATACCCACTCAATAGTATGCTGCTTTGAAAAATGTTAATAAAACAGATGTGGCAAAAAATCTCCAATGTGAAAAAAAAGGGTTTCTCACACATCAATGGAGCTTTATAATATGATTAGAATCTAGCATAATTCAAAGGTGCAAAATCAGCAACACTCTGCTTGCAATTAAGTTATTTTTTAAAAAGTAGGATGCCAAACCACACCAGGCCAGAGCTGTTCTCTCTGTTAGTAGTTCCCATACCTCCAGACTTGGAAGCTCTCTCACCAAGAACTTCCTCTTCTTACTGTTCACGTTGAGCCTTTCCCTGAAGTCCATACCCAGACGATCTGTTACTGTCTGAAAAAGATATGAAAATTTGAAACAGTGGTTGAACACCTCATTAAGAATTTATAAAGCCTTATCAACTGTGGAGTTTGAAGTCAAGTGATGTCTCTATGAAGAGTTCAATAATTGCCAATTAGGCAAACCTGATTTGCCAGGTAGTGTGGTCAGGTTAATGCAACCTGACAGGAAGAATTCAAAGCTAAATAAGACACAGAAAAGATGACAGGTAATAAAAAACTCACTGATATCATGCGTATAAGTTTGGCTTCAAAATCAGTGGAGTTGTCAATAACATCATAATATGGGTGTCCAACCCAAGCCTACAAAAGAAAATATATACAGGTAATTAAACATCAATAATTTTTTTTTTCTTATTTTTTCTTCTCTTAACTGAATTATGGTAATATAATAGTCAGATAAATAAACCAATGATGAATATGATTCAATCTTTCAATGAGAAAAAAACTAAAATTACAACTGTCAATTCAAAAAATTTCTGCTTAGTTAGAAAGCATTATTTTGATGAAACAAAAGTTGATAAAAAAGCAGGACTGAAGAAATCCGTTTTTTTTTCTGTCCCCCACCCATATTTTCCTTTCAATTTCCTGGACCACAAGGATGAGCATACACCTGTTGTCTCATTATTAGTCCCATGTGTTCAGGAGTTGATGTATCTTTCATCTCTACCAACCTGGGAGGCCATATCATCAAGATTTCGTGCTACATCTGGAGATTCATATCGCACGGCGTGCTCCGTGGAATAAAACTTCTCGGCACCCTTGGCTGCAGTGACCATGTGGATCACCTGGTTATATCTGAAATAACACCCGGAAACGTCACTCTTCACATTGTTCTGCTGGTGTGCAGCAAGTGTAAATCAAAATAGTAGTCAAGTTTTAGTCATATATAATAAAATTAAGAAATTCTTGAAATTAGACAAAACATTTAAACCAGACCCAGTACAATTCTATATTTTCTGAGAATATTGTAATCTTTACAGCATTTCATATTTTTTACATTCTACTTTTCTGGTCTGAACACAGATTATCTAAAAGAAAAAATGCCAAGCATAAAGGGGCATTAAAAGAAAAAGAAAACCCACAAATACCTGTTATCTCTCAGCTCTATCTCATTCCAGCCATTTTTCATCTTCATCTCTTCCCACTGTTCTGGCTTCATGTCTGATAAAGAGAGCAGACGACAACATGAAAGCTTTGATCAGTCTACAGTAACAGAAAAATTAATGTTTCTTAAGAGTCACATGTGCACCAATCAATTTTTTATTTCTTAAATCTGACCCTTTAACTTTTTGATCAGCAACTTGAGACTGTTTTTGCTAATGGAGATCTACTGACAGTACTTGGACAAACATCAGTGACAATAGAAAACTATCTGCTTCCACTGCTGAGCACTCACTGGGCTAGAAAGTGAGAGACTCTCTCTGGTTAATTCAAACAGTAACTCACAACATGAAAAAAAGTCAAGGGTTAAATATACCCACTGACTGTTACTGCCCCCCACCCCCCATAAGCAATGTGAAAGACCCTCTTCACATCAAGTGGTGTGCAAAGAACCTAATAGCCACCATGTTTGATACTTACATGCTGTAGCGTCCATGATGCCTCTGTCACAGATAATAAGGCAGTTCTTGGTGCTCATCTGCGCCAACTCGCAGTAAGTCTTCTCTATCTGCATCATACATTTAATGAGGTTCTCTTGGAACTGGAAAACTGGAATCAAATACATCAAGTTTTTAACAATGGATACAAAGATGTGTCTACTTTAAAATACTAGCAAATACTTTAAAATAAATTTCACTTTTTTCCTCCAAAAAACTGCATGGTGTAGATTTCCTTACAAATCTGATGTTTGAAAAATAAATAAATAAATAAATAAATAAATAAATAAATAGGTCAAACAATTCTGACATCTTCAATTTCTGTAAGTCAACAGGATTTTTTTTCATTAATTGGTTTCTCTTTTTTTCTAATGCCAGCTCAAGTAGGGATGATAAATGAGATGATCAATAAAATAGATCATATTGAGTAGAAATGTAAACCACCCCTACATTTTGTTAATAAGTAATATTAAACATAGTAACATTTTAAATATAATGTATTGCTTTTTTCACTGATAAATACATCCACATCTTCTTTGCAGTACTTAATATATGTAATGTGAAGATACAGCCTTAAAAAACTTAAATCCTACTACCATAACATTTGATTCATATTTCTGGAACTACATACTGTGGTTGTAGCAGTAGCATCATATGCATCCTATACTACTAATGTCCAATTACTATAAGCACAGTGACAGAGCACAGCAAAATGACACACATGCAGCAAATAGCTTGGTAGCAGTTAGCTTTGTCAAGTTATATGACACACAAACTAGGGTCACCGAGTGGATAAAAGTTAAAAGTTAATTCTTACCTGTTCCAGTTTGCTTGCCTTTCTTCTCCCCTCATGCTTCCTCATAGCACACAATGGATTACATAACAATATTAACACCAGCAAACAGAACACATTGAGTAGGAAAACGGGAAAATAGAAAAAGGTCTAAACTACCCATGCAGAAGATATCCAGAGTACTAACACCAAGCCCCTGTCAATAAGTAAACTGAAATTTTTTCAATCCATTGGTTTTTTGTTCCAAGGAAATTCAAAAAGGACAAATATTTCTTTAAGCCATCATCTCAGTTTTTTCAACACTATCAATGGGATGCATAGATGAATATTTTTCCAGGAACTTTAAATACTATTGTAAAAATATGTTCTATTTCTTGAAATTACAGTATCCACAACATCATTCAGCAATCCCATTTCCAAAATTAAAACCACAGTTTAAAAAAAATCAGTTTACAAAATGAACTTTCCCATCTCCCAAACCCGACAGTATGATAACATGAAATATGTGTTTGTGAAATTACCTGCAGCTGATTTAGTCCAGGGTAGGGATGAAATTTAAAGAAAGAAACAAAACAGAACATGAGAACAGGACACTATTATACCAAAAGACGTTCATTTTTCATTAATACTATGTTAAATAATGGTGAACTGTGTTCTATATCCTGTGTGTGGATAAAAATTCATTTATAATTGAATTTAATATATTATAAAGGAAAACTACACAAAAAGAGAATAGAACATGCACTGTATAAGACACCAAACACCTGGTCAATAGGGGAAATAAGAAATTCAAGAATATATTTTTGCAAAAATGCATAATAAATAAAACTATCAATAAACTGATTTATCAATGATCAAAATAACAACATTAAATAATTCATCTTAAAATCAAGTTGCAGAAGTCATGTTGACGGCTTCACTCCCTGGCATTGCATGCCCGAGACCAAGTAGAAGTGGGCAGTACACTCTCTTACTGGATAATAGGATAATATTTAGGGAAACAGGTGCCTGGCATAGATGTAATCACTCTGATAAGACATATTTATAGAATTCATCAATCATTTATGTGGCAGGTACACATCAACTGTAGGTACATTTGTTTGGACCAAGAAATTATGATCCATTTTGAAAACAGATTTTAAAGACAGCTGACATAATAGTACAAGTAAAACCCAGGCTGTTTATAATAGCACATGTATATAACTGCTACAAGGTTAGGTACTTGTGGATCTCCTTTCATCTTAATAACAAATTTTCTGATAATAATAAAATACAATCTATCCATTGCAACCACAATACACAGAAGGAAGCTTCAGATAAGAAAGACCCAGCACGAATATAGAAACCAATCAATAGATCAATGCAGATAACAATGAATTCCAAATATTCAATACCAAATAAATGTATTTCAATTACTTACTAACAATATCCCCACATGGAAATTTGATTTATGATTATTGACAAAACAAACTATATGCATAATAAGTGGGACATATTCACAAAACACTACCGACAGTTACATGCTTTTACATCAAAATAAAATCTGACAAGCAAATGGATGTAATTAACTTGCTTCTAGCAAGCCAGAAAATCACTGCAATAACTGGTTGCTGGAAACAGTGAGCTGAGGTGGGTTAACAGCAGGAATAAAGGGCAAAGATCCACCAATCTGATATGTGCACAGAGTGAAATAAGTGTTGATACCAATGCCTTAAAGTTTGTAATAGAAAATTTGACCCTTTCAAGGAATCAAAATGAAAAAGATTTTCTGCGATGTTGTATGTCTATGGCTCAATTTTGTCTGAAATTTGCTGAAATGGACTAAATGAAGTTAAAGAATACAGATTTAATATTAAAAGTGAGACTAACAGGGAAAGCTCAAAGCTCCAAGCCATAGTATAGACTTTGTAGACTAACCATCACATAAAGTCACAACTGCAACAATGAAAGCAAGAAAAAAATAATACTTGAAGCTTATTTTGAATTTCAAGTTAAAGGAGAATATGTACTAATGTTAAAACGCTATTACTATTTTTGAATAAACTAAAAAGTAGAAAAATATAACATATCAATCACTACTGGGATATCCCATATTTCATTCATAAAATATTTGTTTTCATTAAAAACAATTCAGACTGTAGTGGACAACCAAAGCCTGGTTTATCTGAGGGTTTTAAATTCTTCTAAGGTATGCAAACTTTCATTTAATTTAGGTTCTCATAGAAGCTACAAATCCCCCTTTTCTGCAGACATACTTGACAGATTTTGGGGATTGGCTCTGGGCTGAGCTGATCCAGGGTGACCTTGGATAAGGTCAATATCAACTTTTGTCCTTCAGATGAAATAACTTTCCGGGCAAACATGATAAATGTGAAAATATGACTGAAAGAAATGCCAGTGGCAGGCATCAATGTGGCATGCTTTGCTGCTTTTTGTAAAATAATAAATGTATATTATTGAGCAACAAGATTAACATCAATTACAAATATGGAACAGAAAGGGGGATTTATGCTTATAAAAATAATAAAATAATGCTCATAATGCTCTGGGAAAATGGAAAACATACTCCACTGTTCAGAATCAAAACCAGGTAACACAGGGCTCTATAGTTTTCCATCTTAGGTAGAGCACACAAACAGTAAAGCAGAAACAGTAGCTATATATTGCCTACCTGCCACAGCACAGGTAAATATATAATATAGATGAAT